ATAATCTTATTTAAATATTTATTTTATTTCAGTCTACAAGTACTGCTATTTGTTCAGTTTGCTCACATAAATCCATTCCATTCAAAAAGGAAACGTAAACTGCTTTTAGCTGTGTAAGCACAGTGGGCATGGCCTATCCAAAGGTCTTCCAGTAGATCCACGGGAAATCTAAATGTAGTTAAAACTACCAACTGGATGTTCTTATTCACAGGGCTGGAAGAGATTTTCAAAATCAGTTTGGTTTTTTTTAAAACCCATCAAATGTCCATCATGGCAGGGAAGACCAATGAGCTGACTTCCGATAAATAAGTTACATTGTCACTGATGGTTATTCATCCTAAATGATTACTGGCATCTACAGGACCTTGGGGTCGGGGTTCTCTGTAGTACAAGCACCACTCACAAAAGACCAGCTGGGCATCCCTGCGCAGCTGTGTGCTGCACACTTCCTCCAGTGCTCCTGCCGTACTGAGGTACTCAGGCCTGAAAGCTGAGAGAATAACGCTCAAACTCACTGAAGGTTTTTACACCAGGAGACTGGTGGAGGAGGTACTATGAGGTACTAATTCTTGAGGTCCAACCTAAATACTAAAAATGATGATGAAATCTTGGGTACTTGAACCTATTTATACTGCCTTCAATTTCTGGAAGTTATTTTACATGTTTCGTGCACTTTCTTTCTTACAGGAGGATTAAATGAGATAAAAGTATGAGACAGCCTAATCCAGTGTCCACAAACCCAGTAAATAATATTCCCATCCTCCTCCCCATCCCAAAATAAAGAGGTTAGTCCTTGAATCCTTGAACTTGGAAAGTACTTTATAAAGAAGAAATTCGTTTTTCTATCAGCATCCTTGTCATCATGATTCTGAACTGCTCCCAAGAGTGCCTCCACTTTTGTAAAACAAACACTTTATACTCTTTGAAGTACACATAAGGTTTCATTTTTGTTCAGTGTTCTTTACTTTCCATTGTGAAAAGTTGTTTCTGAGGAACTGAAACCCCAGAAGGTAACCAAAACAAAAACACGTTAAATGGTTTTTTTTGAAGATGATGATTCAAAGGCAGACTGGTAGAGAAGTCATAGAAAGTATATGCAGCCTCTGAAGGGAATGGTTCTAATTATTACCTAAAAAAGTAATTCTATACAACTACATTCAAGGGCCTAAGACAGAACTCCTTTAAAACTAGAATGACTGAACAGATGGGTGAAAAACACAGCTGAAATAGGAAAGGGAAATGGACTTAAGAATAATTTGAATTGCAACAATGAACAATCAGTCCTAGATGCTTCTGTTATCTAAATATCTTGAATCACATTGTTTTCTTTATCTCCCATAGCATCTTCACTGAAATCTCAGCAGTATTCTCACAGAACTAAATAATAGTTGTCATTTTGTTAGGATTCAAAATTTCAATCCAGTAGCCATCAGGATCTTGAATAAATGCCAGGCCTTTCATTTTACCTGTAAAATGAAATGATTTTCATTATTGAAGACTTTTAAAAAAACTTAAAAGTTTAAAATATATTTTTTATTACTTCAAATTTTAATGTGCATTTTAATGAAGTACATTATTTTGTTTATAGTTTTAACTTTAAAAATGTGTATTGTTAGTGTGACCCAAATGCACGTTTTTCAGGATGAAGAGCTGGAAACCAACCCTTCTGAAATAAACTGTGGGACCGGCTACATCTTTTAGGTACCAGGTAATTACTTCATCTTCACGATATCACTTCATGCTACCAGTTGAGTAGTCACAGAAATTCTCTTTTTTAAAGAGGAAAAAAGAAAATAAGGAGGTGCTCGAGGGAGCAGGTAGCATGGCTTACCCACACAGCCAAAAGACCCAGGTGCTTGGGCCATACAAACCCTTTAAAGACTATTCTCTGTAACCCAAGCTCTGCCAATCCATAACTGGGATTGAAAGGCCAGTTAGCAGTGTTACTGAGGAAAGTACGTTGATAACCTTGGCTCTTGTCTTCTTGAAGGAAAGACTTCAACCAAGGGACAGAAATGTGTGCAGCATGAATAGCAATGGTTTATTAGTAAAAGAAAGTACACTCGGAAGGTCGAGCGGGCTGACCCAAGAGAGGGCAGCAGCCTGGCCTTACATGTATTTCTATGGGTAGAATTGCCTCCCCGCTCCCTTCTCTTATCTCTCCTTCTCCCGCTGAGGTACCTAGTCCTCTGGATTCAGCAATGTGTTTCTTTGATTAGGGGCATGTGTAAACACATCCCTTTAATTTAGGGGCATGGGTAAACACATCCCCTTGGTTTGGGGGGATGTGTAAACACATCCCTTAGGGGTGTGTGAAAACCTGGAATCCTGTTGGACTAGTCAGGCATTGCTGACAAACAGGATGGGCTCCCCCTTTCTCTGACTTGAACAACACATTTCTTTGATTTAGAGATTATGTAAAAAAGCCTGGAGTCCTGCTGGTCAGCAATCAGGGGTCTTGACCCAAGTAGGAGCTGCAGCAAGGGGCTTTCTAATCAGGGCTAAATTTCTCCTTCTCCTGCTCATTTCTATCTACCTACCTACCCTATTAGTAGGTCTAGTAGTAGAGCTGTTTGCTGAAATGGAAAAATGTGACCTCCATAATTATGGGACAAAGATACTGAATTAGTTTGACTCCTATCTCTGGCTCCTTCCCCAAAGATTAACCCCATAGGAACACAGATGGAAAGTGTAAAAAATAAAGTAAAAAACCTTTGGGGTGATTGTTGGGGAGAACTGTGAGGATGGGGTGAGTGACTGTTTTAACCTGGTCTAGGAGGAGGGGGGTACTTTTTCCCTGGGCCAGAAGGCAGTTCCTCATGGCTACGGGAGAATAAACAAAAGAAGTGGTCAGTTTGGCTGTTGCTCCTCCCAGAGCCCTGGGCATCAGCGCCTACCCTCAGACTGCGGGCGGTTATGCTCCAGGTTCAGTGTCCTCAGGAGTAAATAAGGGCAGGACAGAAGCTGTGTGGCTGCGGGGAACTGAGAAACGCAGCGGGGACCAACTGATCTCCCTCAGCCTTCACTTTCCACACAACCAAGATTAGGGAATGACAATCTCAGAAGTGTTTCCTACTAATACTGCTAATACTTTGTCCCAGAGGGACAAAGAGAGAAGATCTGATCTAAAAGCTGCGGAATATGAAGTGCTGTAGAAGTGTTTAACTCTCATTTTCAGGTGCCTCGAGGTCTCTGCCAAGCCACCTTCAGGAGGTCATCTGGGTTGTTAAGGACTGGGTCTGGCCTTCCCCTCTGTTCGCATTGCCTGTGGACTGTAACAGCTAAGAGATGCAGGAAATAAGCCCTCTGAGACCAAAATAACAAGAATTTGAGGAACATAACCATAAAACAATGGATTATAGATTCAAACAGACGAGTAAATATTAGACCAATGGACCAAAAACTATTAAAACACGTAAAAGTGATGAGGAATTTGGATTTTAACCAATATGAAACAAGAATATTAAAGGAACCAAGCGAAAATTAGAACTCAAAATTATAATAGCTGAAATTAATAACACAAAAGATGAGAACACAAAAGATGAATATCAGAACAGATACATTTTAAGGAAAAATTAGCTAACTGGTATGCCAGTTTGAGGAAATTTCCCGGAAAGAACGCCAAGACAAAGAAATAACAAATATAAAAAGCCTCCACAACAAAAGAGAAGATAATACACAAAGGAACACAAATTAGACAGCAGAGTTTTCAGCAGCAACACTGGATGGAGAAATAAGACATGGAATTCTATTTGCAAGATTGAAGAAAAATAAACCTGAGATTTGATAGTCAACAAAACTGTCATTCATGTAAGGCATGGTTCTCAGGCATATAAAGTCTCAAAAGATTTGCCTCACAAACTTTTTGAATACAGTTTTGGCTGAGGTACTTAATAAAGGGACAGAAAAATCTAAAAGATGCTACAAGAGATCCTTGGTATATTTATTATCTTTTTTTAAAAAAAGCCCAAACCAAAGAAACAAGAAAAATTATCCCAGTCTGGGAAACAGTAACGTGGTAGGAGAAGAGGGGAGCAATTTCTTTTCTTATTGGGGAGGATATCCGGATATCAAATCTTTTAATTGGAAAAAAATAGGATTAAAATGAAAACAGCAATATGTTTCAAATGAAACTGAAATAATAAATTATGATAGCAGAAACAGACCTAAGTAAAATAAATTACAGTATGTGTAAATCCAACAAAATCCTGGATATATACGATTTTAAGAGACATACTTAAAACATAAGGACGTGCAAAGGTTGTAAAGGGTGAAAAAGAAATACCAGGCAATTATTAACTGAAGAGAACTGGTATAGTTATAGTAATAGCATATAAAATAGACTTTAAGGAACTTGTTTTTGGGTGGCTAGATAACACCTGAGACAGTTAAAGCTGGTGGCCAATGAGAGAATGTGGTAGGGTCTAAGGGTGGGAGAGGGAACTAGTCTTTGATGGCGCCCCAAATCCCGTGTCTAGTCCCCTGTGAGGCCACACTCGTGGCTGTCTTTCAGCTCCTAAAACAAGCAGATCCTCCTCCACTCATTTCCCTGCTTTCCTTAAGCGGGTTGAAGGAGACATCTTCAAAGTTGCTTGCAACCAAAAGGGTTTTACTGCAACAGCACCCTCTCTGTGGGTGCTTAGTAAAGGTTCTGGCACTAAAGAGGCCTGAAGAAAACAAGCAGCACACTGACCATCATCAGGCTTCTTCACAAATTTGACTCCTAGTTCTTCAAATCTTTTACAAGCTCCATGGACATCAGGAACAGCAATTCCAATGTGACCTTAGGTGACCGCCCCCAAAATAAGGCAGAGAAAAGGAAGAAATCATTACAACAGGACAGCCAAGTGCCACAAGTGGCTTCCCAAACTAGTACATTTCAAAACAGAACGCATCCAAAAACAGACTGAATCAAATAGGTTAAAAATCTATACTGTATGAAAGAATAAGAATCCAAGTCTAACTGTCTGGTATAATAAATTCATGAGTTGCTCTGAGTTAAAAATTATTTAAAATAAGCCCAATATATAGTTCAATCTGTTAAGAATAACCTACATCAAAAAAAGAGTAATCATTTACTCATACTTAAAAGGTTTGTGGTTGACATTGATGATATAGCAGCCAAGTTAAGCCTGTAATCCTGTTATCTTGACTGAAGATTTTAGGCAGAAGTATATGCTAGCAAAACATCAAGATTATTATTAACCATAGTTTGTTTGTTTTTAATTAAAAAGTCTACTGGAAATACTATAACACAGAGACTGAAAAGTAAAATCATTGTGAGTAGATCTAAAGTTTAGACTGAGACTATGAGACTAAACAACACCTACATAAAATTATCTGTGCAAATAAAAATAACCATACTCCTAATAAATTGATTATACTTGTTTTATATTTATTACAATCATAAATAGGCACGCAGCGCAAAAATCACACCAATCCATATCCA